CTCATTTGGTGGGAAATGAGGTGCTTAGAGGTACTGCACAGACTGTAAACATGTCTACAGCTCATCACCAGAGCGGAATGCTGACAATATCACCAGCGGCACACGAACAGCATGATGGAATGTAGACACTGTGCAAATTAATTACCATCAATGATCGTGGTCCTTCAAGACCACCCCCACAAAGCCATAGAGCATGCTCTCTCTCTCTCTCTCTCTCTCTCTCTCTCTCTCTCTCTCTCTCTCTCTCTCTCTCTCTCTCTCTCTCTCTCTCTCTCTCTCTCTCTCTCTCTCTCTCTCTCTCTCTCTCTCTCTCTCTCTCTCTCTCTCTCTCTCTCTCTCTCTCTCTCTCTCTCTGACTAATAAAATGAAATTAATAGGACCACAAAGGGGTGTTTACCCCTTATTTACTGTGATTTATGGACCAAATTGCTGAGATAGCCTGAAGACATACAATGTAACAAAACACTGGAAAGAAAAAGGAACACAGGCAATACAGTAAGAGTTCATTGGAAATCATTACCACTGTATACAATTCACTACCATTTTGGCTTTAATATTGACGAGGAAGAGATTGATGCTAGCCTCGGAGTTCTGTCAAGAAATAACAAAAAAATAACAGTTTGTAATATGAAGTGACAGCTATTAAATTGCGAGAAAACCTCCATTTAATTTATGACATGTCAAAACCAGAGAGCATTTGCACCATAGACTAAAGTATATCCCTTTCAATGTTGTGTTCATGTTGATTCCCTCTCCTCCACTACTAAAGATAAGTGCTCACAGAGTATTCAATGTTATCATCACTGCAAGATACAGCCAAACTGAGTAACAGGGGAACTAAATTAGGAGTTTGTGACACAGAACAATAATCATTTAACAGAGCACTTAACATGCCTGACCTACTTGACACATGTTGAAGTGACACACTAGTTCTGCATTATATCACATTGCAGTGGATCGTCTACCACTGCTTAGTGCATAAGTGTCTGTTGATCCTAAAACTCCTTTGCTATGACTCTTTCCATTTCCCAGTGGAGAACAGCTTTTGAACTGGGACTTCTATGGCTTCAGTTCTGTATTTTTTGCTTCAAGGCAGGAGAAACTATAGAGCTGTTACACCACTGCTGTTAAGTGTGTGTTTGTGACTGAACATTCTGCCTTGGGGTATCTGGACAAGCCAGTGTTTCCTGGTGGGCAATAGATGTTGGCTGGACGTGGGTGGGTGGCCCAACTTAATAGTGTAGGGGAAACACTGCAGGATAAGAGCTACATAAGAAGCAAGTGGATACATCTGTGGTTGCTATGCTAAATCAAACATTTCACAGGATACAGTATCTGATGTTTATGTCTGAGAGCACTTACTGTATGCCAACGAAGGTGCTTCCATTTCACAGTTTCCTGTTTGCTTCGACTACACTACCAGTCAAAAGTTTGGACACACCTACTCATTCAAGGGGTTTTCTTTATTTGTACTATTTTTTACATTGTAGAATAATAGTGAAGACATCAAAACTATGAAATAACACATTTGGAATCATGTAGTAAGTGTTAAACAAATCAAAATATATGTTATATTTGAGATTCTCCAAATATTTGAGATTCCATATGTGTTATTTCATAGTTTTGATGTCTTCACTATTATTCTACAATGCAGAAAATAGTAAAAATAAAGAAAAACCCTTGAATGACTAGGTGTGTCCAAACATTTGACTGGTACTGTATGCAATGACACACACGTCTGTACACACATTTGCTTACATAGACAGTCCCACAGATACACATACATATACACACACATTCATAAGTACACACGCAAACGTTCATATATGTCTGCACCAAACACTACTTACGGAAAAATGTAAGAAGTTTCTTAAAAACAATAAGACGTTCATATTCCTCAAAATGTTCTTAAGAATTCATAGTTTTCTTAGGAACTTCATAAATATATTTCCTAAGAACTTCGTAAATATCTTCTTATGTGGCATTGACATTAGTGACGTGCTTGAAACCAATAAATAAGCCTATTTGACATTTTAGTCATTTAGCAGACGCTCTTATCCAGAGCGACTTACAATTAGTGAGTGCATACATTTTTCATACTGGAGTGTGTGACAGGGATGATAGGATTTGGCCCGCTATAATAGTGTTGCTATTTCCATTTTATTACATTTATTTATCTGCTTTATGTCTCGAGAATATATACTTTTTAGTTGGCTTGCGAACCCTTTATACACAAAAACAACTGTTATTTATCACACATTATAGCCATCAGACTAGCTATATCAAAAACTAAAATGGTGGAGGAATTAGCAGCCAGGAAAAGGTTGCTGTTGTGGAGACTCAATAACTGCGGGGTCACTGCAGACAAAAAAGAGAGGATGGGCGAGAGTGGCCGAGTCTGTCGTATGGCAAGGGACAGTGACGCCGTAGAAAAAAGTGGTCCGAGATCAAGTCGGCTGCTAAGAAGAAGGGAGCTGAGAGAAACAAGGCATTGAAGAAGACTGGGGGGGGGCGCAAGAAAATGTTAATGGTTACAAAAGTCTCCATTCGTCACAAGACAAGGGTTTAGCTGTCTTAAAGTTAAGTACATTTCCAAGAAGAAATCCTAAAACATTATTTTCAAGAATCCCATTTCTACTTAACTTTTTTCTTAGGAAGAAACAAAGGAAAAAACGTAAGAACATTTCCAATAACTTTATTGAGGAATAGCAACGTTGCTTAACTTTCTTCATAAGTCTATAGTTAAGGAAAAAATGGCAGTTAAGAAGAAATGTCTTCTTAAGAATGTTTTGTGAATCTGGGCCCTGGTTCTAAATGCATTCTTTAGCATGTCAGCACTTTTCCTTTTCTTTATAGGTTTAAGAGAGGGATGGGGATATTGTATGATATTGCAATGGCCACAAACTAAAAAATAAGTACACACGTGCGCACACATACACACACAAACACACATGTGGACAATGACCAGAGGTGGTGCTGATTCAGCCGTTTGTCTTGTTGCATGATTACTCTGCAGACAGCGACAGCTCTAGATAAAAGATGCCCATACAGCTCCTCTCCTCACGGCACTAAAACTCAATCTCGAGTTACTAATAACATTTACTCAAGCTGCTCCCCTCGCTCCCACACCAGGGAAAGAATATAGTGAAAAAGGCTGGAGTGCTTCTGACAAGGGCAAACAGATTTCAAACCGTCTACCTTTCTCAGGAAAAATTACATGAGCTTCCTAATGGAGGGAGATACGATACTGGGGGTATTTTTGGAAAGCTGAAATTGCTGTTTCTTTTTTATTCTTCTCGGTACTGTTGCTGCCTGGCTACTCTCACCGTGCATTGATCAAATTCTGTTTGGTGTGTCTGCCATGTCTCCAAAGGATTTGGCCCAAAGTGCCTGTGTTCCAGAAAAACTCCTCAAAATCATCAAGGATTACATTTTTTTCACCCACGCAGCGGTGACATTGTTGTCAGCACAATGCAACTCTCAGTAGACAAGCGCTGTATGTGCTAAGCTTAGTGATGTGGAATTCATTTTGGAACACCCTCGGGCTGATCTGGCTGTCTCCCTCAGTCGGCTTAAGTGCAAGACCTTTTTAGAATTTTCTGCACACAATAGTTAGTATGTGCCACTTGCTTTACTGGACCATGGCGCATCTGCTTTGTTTGTGACAGAATGCGCTGCATTTTTTGTCACGCTGTCATGAGTTGATACCTTTCCTACTGCCTTTAAAAAAATATGATAATAATCAGGCGATCTGGCTGTGTGTTGTTGACAGACAAATCTATCAGCACTGCAGTGTTGTGTGCATCCTATTGAAGATAAGGAGCAGAGAGAGAGAGGGAGGGAGAGAGAGAGAGAAGAGGGGGAAGGAGAAAATAACTGACGCACGGCGACGACAGCTCCATAATTATTCTCATTAATTCAAGTCACCGTGTCAGAACAATAAGTGTCGTCTGGGATACGGGCAAGGGACAGCCGTCTGCCTCTGCATATCCCCAGACACAAACAGAGTTTTGTGGGCGAAAAAAAGCTCAAACGTACATCCTGCATTTTTGATGAATATTACTTTTATTATTACAAATAATCATGCATTCAAACACAATGTACGTACATAAAGTCTCCCTGCACACACACACACACTCAAAGAAACACACTTATACAGAGCGTGTGGATCTGACGCCTTTGTCTCCAGAGGTCTTCAACACAAACACATGCATCCACATCTTCAGACATACAGCATGTCTCTGCAATGTGGTTGTTTGTGCCTCAGGCAGTTACTGTACATTCGAAGAGTGCCACATATGGATGTTTCCCATTTCAAGCTAGAGCAAACCCTTTCCCCTACATATTCCCAGATATATTGAAAGGGATATTCCGGTGGGATGAAATTACAGTGCTATAACTGGAGTTATGAGTTATAATAATGGCTGGAACAGAGCTTATGGAATGGCATCAAACACATGAAAACCATGTGTTTGATGTATTTGATACCATTCCTCTCATTCCGCTCCGGCCATTACCACAAGACTGTCCTCCCCAATCAAGGTACCACCAACCTCCTGTGCCATCCATCCATCACCTCTTGCCTACCAAAAGCATGGTATTGATTGGCTGGGGTGTGAGATAGTCCAGACTTTCATGGTTAGGGTCTGTAGAGCATTGGGATGCAGATACACCCCAGCAACAGACTATTGTCTATCTGTTGTTCACGGCCTATCTCTGCAGTGCACTGTTTAAACAGTCAGGTTTGCATTGAGGGAATGCACAGACCTCTGTTTGTCTTGCTGCCTGAGGGTACTTCCTCTTTCTAGTCCCCAGATAATGCTGTTCCCTCTTGTATGGGAATGGCAGCCAGGGTTAGGGTTGTTTCTATTTCAACTCAGTAAATTGAGGACATGAGTTGTATGTAGCACAATTCAATAATATTTTTTGGTCAATACTTTTTCACTTTTGCCCACCCCCCCTAAAAGAAATCCCACAGCCTTAGTGCTTAAGAAAGAACATGCTGTACCTGTGCATTTCTTGGGGCTCCCAGGTCTCTTGCCATGCATCCCTAACTTGCACGCAAAGTTTTCTTCCCAGAATTCAGCGAACCACACGTTCCTTCGGTTGTTGGAGAGGGAGCGGCTCCGGAAGTAGCGGTCGAAGGCTGAGATAAGGATGAAAATTAAGAAGAGGAATAAAAGCAGAGACAAAATAAATGTATATCAGCCTAAAGCCACACTCTATAGCACAAAAGGTTTGTACATCTCACAGTGCTACAAACACATGCATTATTTCCCATTGTTTGCTGAGTAGGTTCAATGAGGCTCAGTGTCCCCTGCTCTCTCACCATCCACGGAGGCTCTCTTGGGGAGGATGGTGATGGCCCCCTCTGCCACTCTCTCCTGCTGGACCACAGGGGAGATCTTGGACCCCCAGCTGTCTGAGCCAACCCAAAGGAAGTGACCCGTCTGGTTGTTACGTTTGGCCGTGTCCAGGATACGCCTGTGAGAAGAAAACAAAGTTGTTATATTTCGATTAACTGAATTTAGTTTTACTGAATTTCAATTCACTGAATTCCGATTCACTTCCTGTATGGAATTTGACCCCAACCGCAACATCATCCAGCAGCATACCACCCAGCATCCCACTGCTGGCTTGTCACTGAAGCTAAGCAGGGTTGGTCCTGGATGGGAGATCAGCAGCTGCTGGAAGAGTGTGGAGGGCCAGTAGGAGGCACTATTTCCTCTCGTCAAAAAAAATATCCCAGGGCAGTGATTGCGGACATTTCCCTGTGTAGGGTACTGTCTTTTTGATAGGAACGTTAAATGGGTGTCCTGACTCTCTGTGGTCGCTAAAATATCCCATGGTACTTATCGTAAGAGTAGGGGTGTTAACCCCGATGTCCTGGCTAAATTCCTAATCATACCATCATGGCCACCTAATCGTCATTACCTTCCGATTGGCTCATTCATCCCCCTCCTCTCCCCTGTAACTATTCCCCAGGTCGTTGCTGTAAATGAAATGTGTTCTCAATCAAAATAAGGGTTAAATTAAATAAATATAGAAAGAGAGAAAGATATTCAACTGTCATTGTCCAATCTGAGATACGTATCCAATATCTCCAATGATCCATCTAAGCTTTGTTAACCTGATGGCTTCCATATTACTATTTAAAGAAATGGGTAAATGTGAAAGGAAACCATATTGTAGTTTTGATTCCTGCAAAGTCACCCTCACCCGACGTTCTCAACTCAGACTTCTCAACTCAAGATCCAGTCTAATATAACCATTTTAGGAAAGATGTGTGGCTCTACCCAGTCCTTAGAAGTTTGGAAAACTGAGTTTACTTATTACACTCAGGTGCTGAGCTTTTGGTTGAGGAGCATCAGAGAGTCCTTTATGTGCTGAAAGGAACTTCAATACAAGGCACTCCGCCGCATAGACAGTTCCTTGTACCAGTAGTGTCCCGGAGTTAATCGAAACATCGTTATCTCAATCCACAGTGAAGGGTTTGTGGATTAACTGATGGAGGGGACAAACACTGTTTTTAACTCGATGGCGACTAGAGTGCACTGACTGAAGGAGGACGTGTGTCTGTGCGTGTGTGTCTGTTTGTGTGTGTGAGACCGAGACACACACCTAATGTCGTCCTCATTGGCGAACATGATGACGGCTCGGGCGTTGGAGGTCTCAAGCAATCGCAGAATGAGCTTGTCAAACTCCCCCGGCTTGGGCTCCCTGGGGATCTTCAGAGACTGGGCAATGCATACACCACCTGTGGGGTGAGGAGGAGGGAGGGCGAGAGCGAGCGCGAGAGAGGAGGGGTGGACAAAGGGAAGGGATGAAGGAGAGAAGGAAGTGGAATGGTGGACGGGGAAGGGGTAAAAGAGAGAAGTAGAGGTATGGAGGGAAGGGGTTAGAGAAGGGGAGTGTATGCATAGAGAGGGAAAGATGGTGAGAAAGAGAGAGGGGGAAGATAGAGAGAGGGTTGGAAAGAAAGACAAGTGGAGGGGTTGCAAGAGAGGTAGTGAGGAGAGAGATGTGAGGGAAGGGTGTGAAAGAGAGGAATGGAGGGGTGGAGATACGTAGGAGCAAGAGAGAGATAGGAGTGAAGATGTGGAGATGGGAAGGTGTTGAGGAGAGCAAGACAGAGAGCCAAGAAGAGTGGATATGAGCGAGAGATGAGGTAGATAAGGGAATAAGGTGGGAATGAGAGAGCAAGTAGAGGGGGAGAGCAAATGAAAGAGAAAGTGAAGATGAGGACGTACAAGATGAAGGAGAGATGAGGGATGGAGTTGAGGAGGAGAGAGGACAGAGTGGATAAGAAGAAAATGGAGATGAAAGAAAAATAGACAGGGAAAGACAGTGAAGGGTCATGGCAGAGAGAACAGGTATAGAGAGAGATGGAGGGAGGGAGGGAGAGTGTGGGAGAGAGAAACAGACCATCACTATCTGATTCATTCATGTGGACAGTAGCAGAATACAGATGAGGGAGCCAGAGAAATCTTTCCATCCATCCATCCACTCCCTCCATCCTCTCTTGAATGAGAAAACTGCATTACATTTCAGATTATATCAAATGGTATCACCTGGCTTTAGGTGTTTAAAAAACATTAGGTGGCGCCTGACATACTGTATTATCAACTTATTTGCTTAGCTTGATTTGTTTGCACTCGACTGACACGTACGCATTTTGTTAATCAATAGTGTCTGTCTATGTAAAATTGGGAGGTTATCAGGTGCTGTTGCCTCTCTGCTTAACAGCTGACGAACACGCGCACACACAAACACACACACACGCATAATATGTATAATGGCTTGCTTTCCTTTCAGACCTTGGATACATGCACACACTTTCGAGATATTGGTATCCCCAACACAGCCATCCTTCTTCAAAAACCTCTGCCAGATATGATGAATCCATCACAGGGAATATAAATAAACAGCAGTTGATAAGGCACGTCGGCGCATCGACAGGAGCAGTCCTCCATCTTTAATTGTGTCCATAATAAGCTTCCATCATTTTCAGACTTCTCTATTATATCATTAGGCTCTCTGCTCTGACTTAAGCGATTTTCCCCCCTCGGAATCCAATCTCTCCGTGTTACAGTCCGTCTGCAACAGTTCCATCTCTTTGTGTCTCTTCCAGCTCCATCAGGGGAGCCATCTCGCCACATTACTGTCCCAAACACAACTAGTTATTATCCCTAAATTGATACCTTTTTAAGGGTAATGGCCAATCTGCTTCCCCTGGTTTTCCCAACCTCCAAATTGTTATGCTTAGTTGTTGTCATCTATATCATTGTTGGGTGTAATTGAGGGAGTTTGGGGGGTGTTCGTGTGCGTCACTTCTCTGAGGGGCGCCATGATGGGATGTTGTCTGAAGGAAATCTCTGAATGAAATAGAACTTCAAAATGAATGCAACATAATCTAGTAAACACTTCTGAAAGTTTAGTTAAATGTATGACTAAATGTCTCAGGGGGTACAGTAAACAAGGTTTAGAGCTAGCTGTTTCGTGACTTGCTGTGACCTTCCACCCTCAGCCACCTGCAACCACGTCATGCAGCGGGCACAGTGTGCACACACTCTAATCTATCACTATCGCCTAGAAGGGCTGTCAGAAAATCATCTCACCAAATCAGTTCTGCTATGTTGCCATTTCCACTTTATAGCCCTTCAAGTTCAAATAGCTTAGGACTCCCCATTTAGAGAATCTATCTTGCAGAGTGGGAGTCGCATCTGTGTGTGCACACCCAATAAATCAGAAATCTAGTCCAATTCCCAATTTGTTTAATTGTTCTCTAATGAATGGACAGATTCCCCATGGCAATACATGTCACACCCTGATCTGTTTCACCTGTCTTTGTGCTTGTTTCCCCCCCCCCCCCCCCCCAGGTGTCGCCCATCTTCCCCATTATCCCCTGTGCATTTATACCAGTGTTCTCTGTTTGTCTGTTGCCAGTTCGTCTTGTCTCATCAAGCCTACCAGCGTGTGTTTCGTTTCCCGGTTTTGATCTTTCTGCCTGCCCTGAGCCTGCCTGCCGTTCTGTACCGTTTTGATACTGCCCTGGATTACTGACCTCTGCCTGCCCCGACCCTGAGCCTGCCTGCCGCTCTGTACCTTACGGACTCTGCCCTGGATTACTGACCTCTGCCTGCCCCGACCCTGAGCCTGCCTGCCGCTCTGTACCTTACGGACTCTGCCCTGGACTACAGACCTGTGCCTGCCCTTGACCTGTCCTTTGCCTGCCCCCTGTTTATATAATAGCTCAGCGCTGCAAACTGGGGAAAGGTCTTTGCCTGATTAATATGCTAAATTTTGTATTTAAATCATTGGTCATAAATTACTTATATCAGCTATTATGGCCTTGTGAAAACCACACGACAAGGGGACATATAGGCGGTTGCCTCTAATGATGGCATGAAAAAGTAGGAGTAGGACTGTACTGGCTCTGTGTTAAGGACCAGTCTGATTCTCACAGTATAATGTGTTCTCTTTTGTAAGCTACCTATCCTTATAAATTATTAACGAAGGCTGCCAAGCTCGTCTAGTAGCAGCGGCTATCAGGGGATATCGCAGTACCAAGGCACTGCATCAATCAGGACTTATTGCAGCCAGTTGGGACTTGAAGTGGAGGATCAAATTATAGGGGGGGGGGGGGGGGGGTGGCAATATCAAGCCAGGCAGGGATTTCATGTGTTAATATCCTGTGTTCAGCTAACAAGTCTGTTCTGTATGGAATATGGCACGCCATTCCCATGTTACAGTGTTGTATAATTTTGATAAAGGTTGGAAAATCAACCAATTTCCACACTGTTGTTGCTCATTAGGGGTAAAGGGGTTTGCAGCACTACTGTAAGTGCAGGGAACATAATTATTCTGGAGGTACTTATATTCTGCTTGTAGATACTTCCTCACGAAACAACACTGGTGTCAGATGTGTTGTTTTTCACTGGGATCAAATTAATTCAGACAGAATGATATGTTAAAGTCGAAAGGCATTGTGTTGATACTGCTAATAACACCACTACACATAACTAACATCAGAAAACCTCCAGTTTTCACTTTATGTCAAGTGACAATAAAACAATGTAACCTATTGACATTATAGTAGTTACATGATGTGGTTACATATAGGTTGGTGCAATAGCGGTGTACGTAGTTATGTATTCTCTGTACACCACAGGAGGTTGGTGGCACCTTAATTGGGGAGGACGGGCTAGTGGTAATGGCTGGAGCGGAATTAGTGGAATGGTATCAAATACGTTAAACACATGGTTTTCATGTGTTTGATGACATTCAATTCGCTCCGTTCCTGCCATTATTATTAGCCGTGCTCCCCTCAGCAGCCTGCTGTGCTGTACACCTTTACACTAGCATCACAGTGCATATGTAACCAATGTGGAATTGCTAGTTACCTGTTTGTGCACTAGTATGAGGCACAGCAGGCCTCTTATTCACACTCTCATATCGCATATCTTCCCACACTGAGATGTAGGCCTATCTATATACATGCCAAAGGCTGTGTAACATGAAGAGACAACATTGACTCTTCGATGAATACAACAGACTAATAACAAAATAATCACACTCTGTTTATCCAAAACTCCAGCTCTCAAACATAGGACTATATGGGCTTTCCCAAACTTTGAGTTTCTTTTTTCAACAAAAAAACACATGAAACATGGGTACTTCACCAACCTCTGCACAATTGATACTTCCTCTTCATACTTTACAGAAAGAGCATTATACAACACAGCAGCGTACTGCACAGTCCTGCTCCTTTTCTCTTAATTCACATAAGAGTTCCACGTTTGCCTCAGAAGATTCTGTTTCTAAAAACCTTTTGCCGTTGTCATATCACTACTTCCAGTACTGCCCTTGGGATAAGCACAGGCCGTTTTTCTGTGAGTTTTTGCCTCAGACAAGGAAGTTAGAGTACAGCAGTGGTCACCAACTGGTCGATCTCCAAGGCATTTCTAGTCGATCATCAAATATGTCTGTAAAAAACCCAACGATAAAGCCTTGTGTTCCTATTTTTTGTATTTGTCTCGCGTTGTTGGAGGTAGGTGCACCCGATTCAGCTGCACTGCACATTCTTCCTACTTCCACTCGCCTTACAACCAACACTGCAGCTGTAATGAATAAGTAGGAAAGTGTATCGATAGGCTTGCATTGTTATTTTTAATATCAAGGAATATTTCACTTTCTCTGTTCATAGGAGTAACATGAATTTGTGCATGAGGCAGAAATAATGTGGTGCGACTCAAGTTTCGCCATTAGCTGGAAGACGGTGTCCCTTTTTGGTCAGTGTCAGCGGAGGTAAGGGAGAGCAGAGGGAAGTTGAGAGGTGGACCCAGAGTCTGCTGGTCTATCCCTCTGTTGAGACTGACCATCAGATGCAGGCACCATCAGCCCAGTAATATAAAAAGCAAATTATTTAAATGTATGCTCACTCAACTGTGCCTCACAAGTAATACAACAACTGACATATTACCGGTGTGATCATATAGCCTACCTCAAATGTTGAAATATATACATATGTATATATATATATATATATATATATATATATATATATATATATATATATATATATATATATATATATATATATATATATTTGTAATGGTCCAAACAACAATGCGTTGGCAGGGCAATTCAAGCAAAGCCAATATGCGGTGATAATGTATTGGGCCTATTGCCTACAGCACAACTCTCATTGCTGCAGTACTGTTTTTAATAGGTTCATGTTGCATGGGCTTATGTTTTTCAAGTCATGTTAAAACAAATCTGAGCGGTAGATCTCGGCTTGCATTTTGACTCAAAGTGATCTTGACTCAGAAAAGGTTGATGACCACTGCAGTACAGCATCACAAGCTCTATGAGAACAACTGTTCACATTTAATTTCCACAGAAATATTTGTCTGGTGAGGAAAAGCTGGCACGTTGACTGTAGTGGTGTCAGCCATTGAAAGACTCACAAAGAATTGATGCACTTGTGTTTGTTGTAGGTATTCAAATGTGTTTATTCTGCAAATAACTTTTTGTCCAATTGATTTTTTACAGGGCAGATGGGTATGAAGCTGAAAGCATTAGTATATGATGAGACAATAGCCCTCTGTGGCCTGAGTTTAGCTGACGTGGGCTAAAAGAGGCCTCTTGAAAAACATAGCCTGCAAATATAGGGGAACTTTTACGTCTGGCGTTTCTCTCTTTTTAAGAGGATGGTTACATCAGTCCCAAGAATATGCTGTTTAAAGCGCTCTTTGTGCAGACTGCGTGGTGAGAGATGCAGAATGCTGCAGTGATATCGAACCCCTTGAAACTCCTTCAGCCCAAACATTCTCAGATGTCGTGTCTGAGAGCGAGATGGCCCTCTAAACCCATTCTCTCACACCCTGCTACTCTACAAGGCTGCCAACACAGGCATTGCATTATGCAAAATGAAAAACTACTAGACTCCAGATTTACATGTAGTGGGAACCTGGAAATACAATGCAAGTCCATTAAATATCCACAAAGACTATGCTCTTGGGTACTAAAACAACTTTGAAATTGAAAGGCGCTGTTAGCATAGCAACACAATTGCACCAAATGTTTTTATAACACTAATGCTAAGATGGTAAATGGCAAGTGTCATGTCTTATTTCTTGGTATCAAAAATAATGTGACTATGAATATGTTAGTGGTGCAGTTAAAGCCTCTTTAAAGCTTTTACCCCAGTCTGTCATTTGCTTGTTTTGTGATTTCGCTTATTGGCACGTAGACAGCATTCATCATAATATGGCATATTAAAATATTTACATTTCATACTGTATGCTATATCCTACTCTGCTTATGTGACTTCATTTGCATACAAATTACATTGCTTTACCTTGTGAGGCCCACAGATTTATACAATCCGGGAATGGATGCCGAAAAGGGGGGTGGTCACTTTCAATTCAAAACCTCAATTCCGGAGCACTTATCTGGCTCTATGGAAAACAGATACATTTAGTTTAATCTGAGGGAATACAGAAAGCGTTGCATAAACACTCAGGCTTGTCAAGGTCAGCGGAGAGTCAGTAAAAGCTGGTTTGCACTGAATGAAATATCAGCCGTTCGCACCGAGCGCCTAGCTCTCTGCATCCACTGACAAATTGGAGACAGCAACAACTTTTGTATCCCAATTGAATAAGGGGATAGGTCGTTATTTGTTAAAGCTTCCATTTCGCTCTGAAACAGGGATGAATGAAGAGAGAGAGAGGGGTCAGGATCAATGGGTACTTATCAACAAAACATTTTAGATTACTTGCACATTACGCTAGGGATAATGATACTATTGCTGTTTCACTTGTTCCGTTGGGAAGAATGGCCTGTGTACATGTTAATCAATGAGTTGGAGTGATGATACAGTAACTGCTGCAAAGAGATAAATGTTTCAGAGCTATGCTAGGTCTTGATCAAGGCTCTGATCAGATTATTGGAATCTAGCTCCATCCCTTCAGTCTATGCTGATCTAAACCTGCCAGCTAGAGGTCTTCACGGGTCCACCTGACCCGAAATTCCGAGATCCGACCGGGACCCGAGCGGGTCCAGATCCTTAATTCGAACTTTTGTCTCGGGTCTGGGTCGGGTCTGATATAGTTGCCACAGGTCTCGGGTATGTGCAATTAAAATTAATTTACCGATTGGACCCGTCTAGAGTATAGAGACACACAAGAATCACCTTCCTCACTAGGGAGAAACATTTCCTGGGAACCATTGTCTAGTTTGGCAAACACTGTTTCCTCCAAGCCCCCATTCAAATCATCCTCCATATCTAGTTTGCTATCAGCACTCTTCTGAGCAGGAGTAACTTCACAAACTGGGGATACCTCAAAAGTCTCCTTGAGACTGTCCTAGCCTCGCTATTTCCAACAAGTATTCTTCCTCCTGACTGCTATCCACCAGAACCAGTGGCAAGAACTCACTCCACTTCTCCCATAACAGCACTTCAACATCTAACTTGTTTAACTCCCCTGTTAGTTCAACCTCCAGCATTTTTGCCACCTGATCTAACTGATCCCTCGTTAGCTTGAGTAAACCCCAACTATCCTCTACCTCAGCACAAAACAATGCTGTCTTCAACACCCCATAGACAAAATCAGTATGCTAAACAGAACCAATAAATTAACGGACAACAGTCACAGTTAGCCACTAGCTCACTGCTAAACAACTAATATGCGCTCCAAGCCCCAGAGATAACCACTCCTACAAGGCAAAACCAAACCAACATGCCATGCACAAAAGCTACACACCATAGCCACAGTTAGCCACTATCCTAGCACTAACACAACCTGTTTTACCAAAGCTACAAGCCATAGCAACTGTTAGCCACTAGCCTAGCGCTAACACAATCACATGTGCCACAGAGTCCTCCAGACCCCATACTGGGAAATCTACTCCTGCAAACAGCGCCAACAAAAGCTATTAAAACTATAGCCGAAACAATCAACACATAATGTTCCGGCCCACGTGCAAAACACCTGATCAGCCTTGCAGTAGCTGCAAACAATTTACTACCTTCGCAGGCACAGCCACACCAAACATTTCTGTTGACCAACATCATCAGCTCTCTTGTTAACTTGCAATCTGAAACTCACACTAGCGTAAACCTCACTTAACATGCTAGCTCAACACAAACACCTGCTACAACCTTTCTTAACAAATGCACAACCACACTACCGAACCACACTGGTTCACAACCACCTGGACTTCGTGTTAACATTTATCCCAGACAAGCCCCATAGGCTTGCCTAATTGTTCTGTAACCTGAATGACTGTGTGCATTAATGTGAAACATAATTGTATGCAGATTATTATTATTCAGATGGTGACGAAACATACACATGCACAAAAAGTAAAAATACAAAAGGTATGCCCAAGCTAAACACTCAATACCAAACGAAAGGCCTCATAGCCACTGAACAAAACCAGCAGCTTCACGGCTCTCCAAGCTGACGACCCCCCTTAATTGGCAGCACCTATCCTTATCAAGGCTTGGCAAAACATCACTAGGACCTGGTTGCTGCTGCCCCCTGGGTGAATGGATTGTGGAAGTGGTAGTGATCTGTAGTGTGCTTTGTAAACTACCTAATCTATTCCATTAACAATAGTCAATTTCTCATCATTGAGGTTCCAATGGCTCAATGGGTTAGTTAATGCAGTTGGTTAGTGGGTTTCTTGCATGTTAACATCAGAAGCCTCCTCCCCATGTTTGAGTTATTCACTGCGTTAGCACACTCTGCCAACCCTGATGTTCTAGCGGTGTCTGAATCCTGACTTAGGAAGGCCACCAAAAATTTAGAAATGTCCATCCCGAACTACAAAATTTTCCGTCTAGATAGAACTGCCAAAGGGGATGGAGTTGCAATCTACTGTAGAGATAGCCTGCCGAGCTCTATCATACTATCCAGGTCTGTGCCCAAACAGTTTGAGCTTCTACTTCTAAA